CTCTCCCTGTTCCTGAGGCTGTTCCTGAGGCTGTTCCTGAGGCTGTCCCCAGCTTCCCCGGGGTCTCCACACCATCCAGAGGAGTGGGGTGCTCCCCTCCAGGCCTTTTTCCCCCCCCCCAGAAGGGTGGCTCTGCTCCAGGCTCCTGCTGTGGTGCCCTTCAGGAAATCACAGTTTAACCAGGAGATGAGCAGGCTCCAGGTGCTTCCCGGTGGGAATGCATTCATTAACACCAGGGGGGGGGTAATTTTTACACTGGTGCCCCCGTGGCTGGGTTAACCCTTCCCTCCTGTGTCCCTGGCTGTGGGATGAGGGGGTTGCAGTTGGGGATTCCCAAAGGGGCTTTTGCTCCGTGTTCCTGTGGATTGGGAGCCTGGTCTTGCACCTCATCCTGAAAAATTTCCATATATCCCACCGGTAGGACGTGCCACAAACCTGAACAAGTGTCCCTGTGCTCTGTGGGGGGGAAGAAGCCCCCCTGGGACTGCCAGGGAGGGTGTGTGTGAGTGGCTGATGCTGAATCCTTGGTCTCAAAAAGGAATGAGCTGGGATGAAATGAAGGCTCAAAGAATAATGGAATCATTCAGGCTGGAAAAACCCTCAAAGCTCATGGAGTCCAGCCATTAACCAGCACTGCCATGTCACCACTAAACCCTGTCCCCAAGCGCCACATCCACATGTTTTTAGCCCTTCCAGGGCTGGTGACTCCTGTTCCAGTGCCTGCCCACCCTTCCCATGAAGAAATTTCCCCTGATATCTGATCTAAACCTCCCGTGGCCCAATTTGAGGCCGTTTCCTCTCACCCCATTGCCTGTTCATTGGGAGGAGCTGCTGCCAGGGCCAGGCTGGGTGAGGCCTGACCTCTCCCTCCTCTGCCACCCCTGCAGATCAAATACCACGAGGAGTTCGAGCGGAGCAGGATGGGCCCCAGCCCCAGCGAGGGCTCGGAGCCGGAGCGCAGGAATTCCCAGGAGAGCTCCGGTTACCGGAGACCCGCCGAGCAGCAGCACCAGCCGTCCCACCACGTCCAGCCCACCAACCCAGGTGAGGCCCGGGGCGGGGGGGCAGCCAGGGCTTTGTGAGGGGCTTTGCTGTGCCCCCCATATCCCACTTCACGCCCTTCCCCCCGCAGTGTACCAGCAGCAGCCGCCGTCCCAATCCTATGGATACAAGGAGCCGGCGGCTCCGGCCTCGACACAGCGCAGTGCCCCGTCTGCAGGGGGGGTGAGTACAGCCCAGAGCAGCCCCCCAGCACCAGCCCCCTGCTTCCCACCCCTGGGGGGGTTCGTTCTGAGTCACAGAATCACAGAGTCGGCCGGGTTGGAAAAGACCTCTGAGATCATCCAGTCCAGCCCGTGAGCCAACAGCACCCTGTCACCCAGACCGTGGCACTGATGCCACATCCAGGCTCTGCTTAAACACCTCCAGGGACTGGTGACCCCACTACCTCCCTGGGCAGCCCATCCCAATGCCCAGTGTCCCATTCCAGTGCCCAGTCACTCTCTCTGTGAAGAACTTCTTCCCAGTGTCCACCCTAAACCTCCCCTGGCGCAGCTTAAGATCCTCTTGTCCTAGTGCTGGTGCCCTGGGAGCAGAGCCTGATCCCCCCTGGGTCCCTGCTCCTGTCAGGGAGTTGTAGAGAGTGAGAAGGTCCCCCCTGAGCCTCCTTTTCTCCAGGCTGAGCCCCCGCAGCTCCCTCAGCTGCTCCTCACAGGATTTGTGCTCCAGCCCCTCCATGTCCTTCCCGAACTGAGGGCTCAGAGCTGGGCACAGCACTCGAGGTGTGGCCTCACCAGTGCCCAGCACAGGGGCAGAATCCCCTCCCTGCTCCCGCTGGGCCACGCTATTCCCGATCCAGGCCAGGATCCATTGGCCTCCTTGGCCACCCGGGCACCCCTGGCTCGTGTCCAGCTGCTGTCACCAGCACCCCCAGCTCCCCTTCTCTCCCCCCTGCAGGGGGGTTGTTGTGGCCAAAGCGCAGCCCCCGGCACTTGGCCTTGTAGAACCCCCCAGAGCTCTGCCTGCTGCCCACCCCTGCGCCGGGGGGAGCCCTTGGGAGGGGGCGGAGCACTTGGGTCTGCGCCAGCGTTCCCGGATAACCCCCGGGATTGGGATCGGGATGGGGCACACCCCTCGCCCCGGGGCAGGGCAGGGCACCAGAGCAGGGTCTGCCACCGCCCCCCGTGTCCCCACAGAAGCGTTTCCGCGCCGTCTACGACTACAACGCGGCGGACGAGGACGAGGTTTCCTTCCAGGACGGCGACACCATCATCAACGTGCAGCAGATCGACGACGGGTGGATGTACGGCACCGTGGAGCGCACGGGGGACACGGGCATGCTGCCCGCCAACTACGTGGAGGCCATCTGAGCCCTGGGGGGGGAGGAAAGGGGGTCCAGCCCAGCCCCCAGCCCGGGGCCGTCCCCCCCCGGTGTGTGTGCGTGAGCCCCTCTGCCCCAGCGTCCCTGCTCCGTGTGCTCCGGTGCCTCCGGACGTCCCGGCTCCCGTGTCCGTGTGTCCGCAGCCGCCTCCGGGTTCTCCCGCCCGTGCAGCTCCGTCGTGGCCCCGTGGGGACGGAGGGACTGTGTGCAGGGGGGGCACGAGGGGCCGCAGCTCCCCTGCTCTCTGGGGCTCCCTCCTCTCCAGCCCCCCCGGGCGCTCCGGCCTTTCCTGGCCGGGGGGAGCAGCCGGAGTTGCCGCGATCCCAGAAAAGAGAGGGAGAGACCATGTTAGGACCAAATTCCCCCCGCCCTGGCAGGGCTGGGCAGAGCTGCCCGTGCGGGTGAGCTGAGGGATGCTCATCCCCAGGGTACCCTGGGCTGCAGGGATGGGCTGGAAGCCTCCACCTGCCCCGGCTCTGGCCCATCCCACTGCTCCTCCCGGCCCCTCTGCGCAGTTCCCGTTCAATCTTTGCTCCCTTCAGTCCTCAAAACAGGAAAACATTCGCAGTTAGAATCTCAAACAAAGCCTTTGTCCTCGGGATGCCCAGAGGCCGCTCCAGGCAGCCCTGGGGTGGCTCTGGGTGCTCCTGCCTTGGGCTCCAGCTGACCCATTCCACCTCCTTGATTTCCCCTGGGCGAAGGAGCAGCTTTGGGGTTGCTCTGGCTCCAGGGTTGGAGTTGGACTGAGCCCCCCTGCAGCTCCAGCTCCCCCTGACCGGGGTCTGGGTGTCCCCTGGAAGCCTCTTCCTCGCAGCACTGGCCGCTCCCCAAATTCACCCCGAACCTTCCTGCTTTTCTCTTGCTGCTGCCGCCGGGTTTTTGGGACCCTCCTGAGCCCCCCACCTGCTGGGAGGACGGTGTGGGGAGCCAGCAGGATCAGCCCCTATCCCTGTGCCTCCTCTGAGCCGGGTGTGAGGGATCCTCCCCCTCTGGCACCACACTGGGACTGACCTGGGTGAGTGTCCCCCTCCAGCACCCTGCTCTGGAGTGACTGGGCACCCTGAGCCACCCTGCGCCTCGTTCCCAGCCACGGGGGCAGCTTTTGGGACCACCCCTGACTTGGAATCATGTCATGGACCAAAATCTCCGGGCACATCCCTGTCCCCTTCTCCTCTGGGCTCCCAAGGTGCCGGAGCAGGTCGGGGTCAGGATAACTGGAAGCCTGTGTGAGGAGGGAGGAGTGGGACACTCCTCTCCTGGGTCACAGGAGCAGGACGAGGGGACAGTGGTGTCCCCTTGCCGGGCTGCACCAGGACATTCCAGGGGGACAGCGCTGCCTTTGCTATTCCCAAAGGAAAAGAGGGAATACAGGGACCAAAGCGGCCGAGTTGAGACATTCCCTGGCCCTGTTTGGGGCCTGTCCCTGCCTCCTGCTTGCAGTCCCCTCCCTCAGAGCACAGGGGCTGCAGGGCTGGAGCGTGGATGGTGCTGGGATTGGGATGGTTGCGATGGGATGGGGGAGAGTGCCAGGGATTTTTGGGCCCCCGGGAGGGGCTGTCCGGGATTTTGGTGCTAAAACAAGTGAGCACAAGAGCAGGGAGGGGGTGGCTGGGCAGGGGGGACCCACATCCCCCTGCCAATCCTCTTCTTAATCACGTTCTTGTCTGGGAATGGGGGGGGGGGGAGTATCAATGTGAATAAACCGTTTTTTAATGGACCAAATAACACAGGCAATTCCGTTTTGGGATACAGACCTTTTTTTAATGCTACCTTGAGACCATTGTCCCTAATCCTCCCCCCTGCCCTTCCCTGGCCCCTTCTCTCCCCGCCTCCGTGGGAAAACAAACCTCTTACTGCTTCATTTCTGCCTTTTTCTCTCAACTTATGCACTTTTTTGCCTTTTTTTCATAGCCGAAAAGCACCTAAACCTGTATTTAAAAAAAAAAAAAATAAAAAAAAAAAAAAAAAAAAAAAAAAAAAAAAAAAAAAAAAAAAAAAAAAAAAAAAAAAAGGAAAGAAAGAAAAGAAAGGAAAAAATGAGAAAAGCTGAGTTGCTTCTCATCACGTGTAAAATAGCCCTTGTCCATCCCCAGCTTCCCCGGTTGCGTCTCAGTGCTGAGCTTAGAACGTGTTTTCTTCGGGATCCGTCGCTTGATTGGGGTTTGTCCTCGTGTCCTCCTTCCCCGTGGGCTTGAGCACCCACCAGTAAAACATGTGATTTGGCCTTTTTTTTTTTTTTTGTCCCAAACCATCGAGTGGAACAATCCAACCCCGTCCTCTTCCCGGTTTACTCGGATGAAAAAAAAAAAAATAAAAGTATAATTTTTACCTGCTGATTGTGCTGCCTTTTGGCTGCGGTCGCTTTTCCTGCTTCCCTGGGGCACAAGGTGGGGATTTTGGGGACTTAGGGGAGGCTGCCAGAGCTGGGTCATCGTCTGGCCTGGCTGCCCTGGGGGTGGGAAGCACTGGCATCCCTGGGGATCCACCTGGGATGCAGCTCCTTGGCTCATCCCTGCTGCCGCCTGGTTCCCCGGAGCCCAGGGAATTCAGCCTCTCCAGGGGGGGTTTTCAGCAGCTACAGTGTTTAGCAGTGAGGGAAAAAAAAATCGGGAAGGTGTGTGGAGGAGGAGGAGGGTGTTATTTGGGAACAGCAGCAGCCAAAAAAACCAAGGGAAATAAAGCAGCTCCTCGTGTGTGGCACCGAAGGCAGAGGATGGGGAGGCACTCCAGGAGCACCAGGCTGGAAGGTGAGTTTGGAGCAGTCCTGGTGTGCCTTTGCCATGGCCAATTTTCCTCCTTTCTCCATAGGATGGGCCCGTTCCCAGCTGCAAACGGGGGTCACCTCACAGCGAGCACCCCCGTGAACTGGGAAGTTCGGGAAGGAAGGAGCGGGGACTGAGCAACAACTCCCAGGCAGGGCTGGCATCGGGCCCCCAGGGCTGAGCTGGGGCTGCCCGCCGGCGTTTATCCCTTTATTTCCCTGCTGGAAAGCGGCTCCATCAGCTCCGGCATCATCTCTCCATCCTGAGCGAGCCGTGCTGGGCTGGGAGGGGAGGGCGCAGCTGGATCCCAGAATCCCTGTCTGAGCCACCGCAGGGAGCCCGGCAGCCCCTTCCCGGCGCCTCCTCCCTCACCATGCTGGACATTTTCATCCTGATGTTTTTCGCCATCATCGGCCTCGTGATCCTCTCCTACATCATTTACATGCTCTAGGGAGGCGCCGGGGTGGGGATGCGGCTCAGCACCAGCCTGGCAGCCCGAGCGCCATCCAGGTGAGCTCCTTGTCCCAGTTCCTGGGGAGGAACGTGCTCGGGGAAGGGGGAGAGGGCTCGGGTTGGGGTTAATTCCGTTGTCTTCGGCTGCCCGGGCTGGAAGGAGGGCACGGGGAGGGGGCGATTTTATAAACCAGGCCACTCGTCCCCGGCCATTGTGCGGCCGCTGGTTTCTCCCTGCGGGATTCACCGGCCCCTTCCCACCTGGAAAAGCCGCTGGGAGCAGCACGAGCTCGCGGGTTTTGTTCCCGAGAGGGAGAGGAACGAAGCAGCGAGGAGGGATCCCGGCTGCGTCATCGCCGGGGAGGCAAAGGGGGGGTTCCCCGGCGCCAAGGGGGGGCTGGGGCTGCTCCCTGTGCTCCCACATCCCGCTGCCTCCACCATCCCGGCGTCTCCCACAGCTCCAGGCCCAGCTCAGACCAGCCTGTCCTTTCTCTTCCGCAGCCTCTGCCTGGTCCGTGTCCCTCGGAGCCTTCTGGAAGGGCGTTAACCCCTGCGAGCCCAGCGCGGAGCACGGAGGGGCCGGGGGGGGGAATGGGGAGGAGGCTGCGAGGGGATACCCCTCTGCCGGGACCTGGGTTGTCCCGGGGGGACGGGGAGGGTCCTGCCCCCCCCTTGGGATGAGCCCGTCCGAAGCTGGTCATCTGGGTTTCATTTCAGGAGAGCACTTCTATTTTTAATGAAAAATAAAGTGGGATGAAATGGAATAAAGAGGAATGGCACGGGAGAGGGGATGTGGCTGCTGGTGTTGAATGCTGGAAGGCACCCCCTGCATCCCCGGGGATGGGGGGCACGTGGCTCCCTGGGGCAAATCCAGCCTCTGTGGAGAGATCCACGAGCCCTGGGAATGGTGAGAGATTGGAAAACCGGGATGAGACACCTCTGTGTCCCCCAGCATGAGCGGCAGCCCCTGGGGAGGGGTCTCTGATCCAGCTGGGGGGGTCCCAGCCAGGCTCTTCCCTGCCTGGATGGTGCCCAGGTGTCTGTGCCCACCCTCCCCCAGGTCCCTCTGTGGTTTTGGGGGAGCTCCTGGAGGTCCTGGTTAATCTCAGTGTAGAAAAAGGAACGTTTTTAACACGATGGAAATTTCTGTGGGATGGAAAGAACATTTCAGGGCCTCATTTCCCCCTTTTTTTTTTTTTTTGAGAGGCCTGGGGAGGTATTTGGAGGATTTTTCCTGTCCTTTGATGAAACCCTGCCTCAATCCCTGCCCTCACACAGCCACACACGTGCAATGAATCAAAGTTTCACCCTCCCAGAAGGCAAAGTTTTCTTATGCCCGCTGTCTCCCAGGGAGATATATTTTTTTTAAGCCACAAACACCTGAAATATCCACAATGGGAAAAGCTACTTGTGTCCCTTTAGGGGACCATGGATCATGGAACCCCCAAGTGGGTGGGAGAGAACAGGACCCAGGGAGAGCAGGGGGCTGGAATCTGGTGTGACTTTAAGGAGACTGTGTTCCCAGAAAAAAAAAAAGAGGGATTTCAGAGCCTGGGAATGCTGGATGAGTACTTGACACTGCAATTTCCTGTCAGTGAAACTCCGGAGAGGAACCCAAAGCCGGGTGGTTTTGCTCCCGAAAAATCCCCCGTCGTTGCGCGGGGGCCGCCCAGGGCGCTCCCTCCCCCCCAGCCCCAAATACAGCCGGAAATCGGGAGCCTGGAATATTCCGGGAGGAATTTCTTCAGGCGTTAAGTCATGTTCTCAATAACCTCCCCCCCCTCCCGGGGCTGCGCCTGCTGCCAACATCTGCAGCGAGCAGAGGAGGAATGCGCGGAATGGGAGCTCAGCTGAGTGTGAAGGCAGGAACAACCCTTGTCTCTGACTCCGAGGGCTCCTCTGCCCTTACAAACCCTCCAGCAAGGCGGAACGGGCCCTCCTCCCGCCCCACACCCGCCAGCTCCCGGCTGGAAGGTGCAGGGACCCGGCCCGGCAGCTGCGGGGTTGGGAAAGGGGCCGGGGCCGAGGCGGGGTTTGCGGAGGGACAAACGGCCCCAGCTCTGGGGCAGAGGGAGGTGCTGCTCCGGGGCTCGGGATGCAGCGAGGTCCGGCTTTTATCCACCCCCCCGGCAGCAGGTAAAATTTGGCAGCAGAAGGAAGAGCAGCGTTCTCTCAGTTCTCTCAGGGATCCCCGTCCCAGCCCCTCTGGTGCTGCCGAGGTTCCCCCCCGGGCCCCACTCGGTGTTTAACTGGGAGAGCTGATCCAGGGGGATGCTGGAAAAGGAGGCTGCAAGGGGGGGTGTGTCCTATTCCAAACTGGGAAACTTGGGGAAGTAAAACAGAACCCCAGGACAGGCTGAGTGGGAAGGGACCCACCAGGATCATCCAAGTCCTGCTCTTGACCCTGCAGGTCAAAAAACTCAGCAGCCGGGATGGAGTTGACGCTTAGATTTCACATTTTTTTTTGTTAGGCAGGACGAGGGGATGTGGCTTGTTGAATGAGGGGAATTGAACCACAAACTGCCATCCCAGGGGATATGGGTGGGAAGTGGAATTAACCTGGGGCAAATCCAGCCTCTGTGGAGAGATCCACGAGCCCTGGGAATGGTGAGAGATTGGAAAACCGGGATGAGACACCTCCGTGTCCCCCAGCACGAGCGGCAGCCCCTGGGGAGGGGCCCCTGATCCAGGTGAGGGGTGGTCCCAGCCAGGCTCTTCCCTGCCCGGATGGTGCCTTTGGGAGGGAGAGCCGCTGTTTGACGGGAATGTTGCAAAAACCAACGCCAGACACTCTCTGGGCTCTTGTGCAGCCCCTACCAATTAATAATGCCATCAACAATTCCCGGCGGGCAGCCGCATCCAGCTGGCACGCCCGGAGGATCCGCTGCTCGTGCCGGCAGCGCTGGCATTTCATCCCTCCGACGATCCCTCGGCTGCCAGGGAATCAAAGAGCTCCCTTTTCCCGTGTGGCTGCACTCGCACAATGCCGGCCCTTGTGCCGGGCTGGAATTCACGGCCCCTTGTCCCCGACCCAGGGAGACGACCCGGGGGCTGGCGGGGGGACGCGGCTCACAATGGGCCCGGGCTCTGCTCCATCCCGCTGCCTTCCATCTGCCGGGGTTATTTATGGGGAGCGATTCCCGAGGATAAAGGGAGGCAGAGCCAAGGACCCGCAGAATTGAGCCCCGGCGGCTTCTTGGCTGCGTTTTCCCGTCGCTGTTCTCACTCCGGGTCTGTTTTCTCCTCGCGTTTCGTGGGGATCAGTCCGGACACGGTCGGTTCCTCTGAGCAGAAACGAGAGGCCGGAGTTTTTCTTTTCCCTCAGAAATCACGCGGAGCTGCAGCGCGTTCCCAAAAAATCACCTTCAAAGAGCGAGGGAAAAGGGGCGTTCCCAGGGTTTTCCGGCAGGGAAGGTTTCACCTCTGCCATCTGCCGGCACCTGCGAGGATCCCGCCTGGAATCGTGCACTCAACAAACGCGGGAGAATTCCTAACAAACAAACAAAACTTCCAAGCGAATCATTCCGGCTCAGTTCCCGGCGGAATCAGGTGGGGGCAGCTGAGATAAATCGCTCCCTCTTCAGCTGCTCTGACGCTTCCAGAGCTGAACGTGGCTCCCCTTCCAGCCAAACCCTGGTCCCGAAGGAAGACTGAAACCTTCGGGAAGGGATTATCGGGGCGGAGAAAGAGGCTCTTTAATGACCTGAAGGAAACAGCCCCGTCGGAAACAGCCCCCGGACAGTAAGTGCTTTTTATTCCCATCACGTGCTTTTGTTTTGAAGGCAACAGAGCAGAAAATCCAACCCCTTTCTAAAGCAGGAAACATTTATACATTTAATGAACCAGTGACTTAATTTAATGTGCATTTAACGGGTGTCTTCAACTTGGCAAAGTCCTGTGGAGGCCAAAACACTGCAACAGTTGTTACCTGGGGCAAGGGGGAGGGATTTGGGAGTTCCTTCTGCTTTATGAAAACCTGGAGGTTGAGGGGGAAAAAAAATGCCTTGCTTGGTCAAAGCACTTGAACTGCTTCCAGGAATCATGTCTGGCTGTGGCTGAGCATCCAAGGTCAGGAATATTTCTGCCACAGAACCTCTGGGTCAGTGAGAGAGGCCCTGGCAAGCTGGAGAAATGTAGCTGTGCTCCTCTGACCCCATCCATCTCTTTCTCCTCGGATTCCCGAGAGAAAACACATTTTAAAGACCAACATGTTTTGGGTTCTGAACTAAGATAACATTCCTCAGTTGGTGTCTGAGTATGGAAACCATGTCATTTTTATTCTGTGTGCAAACATGCACAGTGGGAAAAGAATGAAGTTCGTGTTCCCAAGGGAGAGGCCTCAGGCTGCTTCCCTGGAGAAGCAGAGCTCAAGGAACCCCACGGTGGAGTCCCCAAAAGCTCCTGGAGCTCCTTCAGCTGGACTGACATGGATGGTCCCAACTTCTGCCACTCCAGCTGGAACGGGAATCGAAGAAATAACTGGGCAGTTCTTTGCAAATGTTCAAAACCAAACCCAGGAGCCAGAGTCTGCAGAGCTCAGGTGGTGTTGGGGCTGCTCCTCATGGCCAGGAACAGGATTTCCTTGTGGAAGTTTGCCTGGGCGTTCACCAGGTGGAATAAATTCAGGAAGGTGTTGTCCTCCTCGTCGTGCCCCCCTGGCAGGGTAAAGGAAACCATGGAACATGGTCAGTGGAACCAAACCAGCCAGTTAATCCCTCAGGGTGGATGTCCCTTAGCAGAGTGAGGCAGCAGCTTCACCTCAGCTCTGTGCTGTGATTCATGATCCTGATGCCAGGACAGCTGGGAAGGGACACAGGAGACTCTCCCCAAAATTCCTTCCCCAGCCTGCCCAAAGGCAACAAGAACAACTGTGTGTTGGGACAAAAGCCTGTCAGAGCTGAGCAGGAGGTTTGGGCACAGCCCAAAGGGACCTCGGGCCCAGGATGGGGTTTAAAACACTGTTGGTGGCACCACCCCTGGCACCAGGAATCCCTCAGCAGGAGAAACCCGTTAAAATGAAGGTTTCTGCCCAATTATGGCACTCGATTGATTATTTGTGTTGCCCAGAGAAGCTGTGGCTGCCCCAGCCCTGGAAGTGTTCCAGGCCAGCTTGGAGCAACCTGGGCTAGTGGAAGGTGTCCCTTCCCATGGCAGGGGGTGGCACTGGAGGACCTTTAAGGCCCTTCCAACCCAAACCGGTTGGGGATTCAATGCTTCTGTGGTTTTATGTCACCAAAACCCTTCAGGCTCTCCAGGATTGCTCTGCCTGGTGAGGGAGGGAAGGGCAGAGAGTTCCTCCATGCCATGCTCAGCCCCAGCTCCTGATCCAAGAGCTGCTCCAGGCCCAGAGGGCGAGTCTTACCAGCCAGCACTGCCTGCAGCATGTCCATGAGCATGTGGGCAAAGGTGTTCTCCAGGCACTGCAGGAAGTTGTTTCTCTCCCAGGGAGTGCTGAAAACCCTGCAGACCTTCTGCATCATTTTCACCACCCAGTCCATGCAGTAAAGGTCCTTCTCACACACCTGAGGGACACGGGAAAGGTCAAATCTGAGCATTAAATGTTGATTCTGCAGCGGTTGTGCCGCGGCCTGGAAAATTAGGGGGGGGTGTCAGGAGGGCACAGAGGTTGTTCTTGTGGGCATGAAGGGGCCCCTCAGCCTTTTGTTGGTGGTATTTCCCCTCAAGGACAGGCTTGCCAGCTTCCAGGGATGTGCTGGACAAGGATCAGAAGGTGGGAGAGCACCCAGATTTTTGCTGGGCTTGCTCCTGCTGCGTGGGAGCAGAGGAGGAAAGTCCGAGGGAGCAAATCTGGGGGGTAGAGAGGCTCTGCTCAGCTCTGCTCAGCTGTACTCACCAAAGCCATGAAGACCATGAGCCTGGCCAGCTCCACAGCCCTGCCATTCACAGCCTTGCTGGCCAGGAAGGTGAAGCAGATGTTGTTCCCACTGAGGAGGAGGAGCCGAGCGTTGTTCTCCATGAGCCATTCCTGGGGAACAACTTGGTGGTGGGAGAGAGAGAGAGAGGGGAGATTTTAGTCATCTTTGACCCAAAAGAGGAGCAGCAAAATCCCACAGGCAGTTCCTACCAGCTCCTCACTCTAACTGGTGACAAACTCCCCCCCAGCTGTCAGTGGAGCTGTTGATTGTGGCTTGGACAAACCCTGGGTTTTCAGCTTGGACAATTTTTCCCGAATGATTCGAGGCAAGGCTGGAGTTTTAAAGGTCTGTAAGGATTCTTAAATGATTTCTCTACAGGGAACAGGCAGCCTGAGTGTGACCCTGGGGTTCCCTCATCCCACCTCCTGCCTGCATTCCCGGGGTGAGGGCTTTTCCAGCCAGGCCAGAGCTACCACTGGGAGGAATTTCGCAGCCTGTTTGCACCCAGGTGTCTGAAACACCCCCCGAGCTGGATTTGGAGGATACATAATCCTGTGGATTAATGACAGAGGCAAAAACCACACCTGACAGCTCATCCACGAGGCTGATAACATCATCTGCTGTCCATTCCCTGGCTTCTGTGTCATACAGCAGCTTAATTGCTTCAGCTAAACCCTTCAGACTGCTCTCATCTGTTGGTCCTTCTATCATTTTCTGCCACACCACGTGTCCTGAGTGAGACATTAACCACAACTGCCCCTAAGTGACATTTTTTTTCCAACAAAGGGAGTTGCTGAACTGAGCAGGGGAATCCAGGCAGCACAGCTCAGGCTCTGTGACAGCCACGTTGTTGTCCCTCTGTCACTTTTTAGCAGGGACAGTGGGAGTTGCAGTGTGAATCAGGTGTAAAGGGACCCAGGGTTAACAATTGAGGGAGGGAACACGTTTTCCCTCAGGGAAAGGGATGATGGTTTGAGGTGGGTTTGGGCTGCCTCTGCCCCAAGCAGGGGAGAAGAGGGGGACAGAGGTGTCATTTAATTCCTTCACTTGAATTTTAACTCAGAAATATATGTATGTGTGTGTGTGTGTGTGTGTGTGTGTATATATATGTATATATATAAAATGAATATATTTTATGTATGACAGTGATGTCTGGTTGAGCAGAACCTTTTTCCTTGGCAACACAATTGTTTCAATGGCTTCCCACTGCCAGAGGGCAGGGTTAGATGGGATATTGGGAAGAAATTCCTTCCCTGTGAGGGTGGGGAGGCCCTGACACAGGTTGCCCAGAGAAGCTGTGGCTGCCCCAGCCCTGGGAGTGTCTAAGGCCAGGCTGGAGCAACCTGGGCTAATGGAAGGTGTCCCTGCCCATGGCAGGGGGTGGCACTGGATGAGCTTTGAGGCCCCTTCCAACACAAACTATTCTTTGATTCTAACACACTTACATTTTATTCGCATAAAAAATTGGGTCTCTGCTGCATCCTGCAAGGGAATCTCCTTCTCAGGGCCCCAAACTCTGAACACTGAGCCCCCCAGCTCCTCACCATCCAGAGAGGACACGGGCCCAAAGATGATGTAGAGCAGCCGGGCCTGGTTCACGATGGGCCAGGGCTTCAAAATGCGGGTGAGCCAAAAGGCAGAGTCGCTCCTGTGGATCCAGTGGTTGAGCAGGACCCTCCTGCAGTACAGCCTGATCCTCAGCTCCAGCTTCCTGGCACTGCCTGGGGCAGAAGGGGGGGAGATGTGGCAAACCTGTGAAGCCTTGATCAATGCAAATAATCACTTTTTTATAGGAAATCAAAGAGGGCAATAAATAGGAGCAGCAGGAGGAAGCTTGGCATGGCTGTGGGTGAAGTGTTCCACAGAAAGTCCCTGTTCCATGCTGGGCAACAGGAGGGTTTCTGGAGAGGCCTGTGCCACCTCAGTGTTGGGGTTCAGAAATACTAAACCTCACTTTTTACTGCAGCATTTTATTCCCAAACTGGTTCCTTTCCCGTTGGTTTCACTGGTGGAGAGCGGGAAAGATTCAAATCCCTGCTTTTGCTGTCGACGTACAGACACACAACCTGGGCTTTGGACTGGTGATGGAATGATTCAGGAAACCCCAAAGGCCTCTCAAGACAACTCTCCTCACTACAGGAGCACTTAGCTTTGCTTTTGGTGAAGAAAAAACTAGCTGTGCTCGTTGATGTGAAGGCCAAGAACCCACTTCAGGATGCCCAGAGAGCCAACAGAACGTGAGGGTCAGGAACCGATTGGTGCCACAAGGCTGAGCTGAGCTAAACCCCTCTCAATTCCAGGAATCAAGACCCATTTCCTGCTTTCCCTGTGCTGGCACATTTTGGTCCTTCAGGCCTCTTGGCTGCTCTGATTTACCTGCTCTGCTGCTGACAACTGTCTGCACTTTCCTGGCCAAACTGCTCAGCTCCCAGAGGAAGTTAAAGACCCGGTGGCACTCGAGTTCATCCCAGCCTGCTGTCAGGATCTGGAGGGGACAGAAGGAATGGGGTGAAAAGGAGTGGATTGAGCAGAGATTTAGATCCCAGTGCCAGTCCTCAGAGCAGAGAAACACAATCTGTGCTGCAGCTCCCCCTCCTCAGGTGCTGCCCAGGTTGTGCTTCAGCCCAGTGACTCCCGGAATCAAAAGCTGCTCCAAGAGTTTTGAACCTTGTGTGGGAATGTACACACAGGTATTTGCTCCAAAGACAAATGACCCCCCTCAAATAATCATCTGTTCTTCTTCAAATTTTAAATTTTAATATATATTTTTTTAAAATTCATTTTAAGCCAGCACAGGTGAACAGAACTGTTCTGGCCTGTGGTGTGTTGAGCCATTTCCTTCAAAACTAAAGCATCTCTGCTCCTGGATTGGGAATTCGAAGCTGTGCAATGAAATGCTGCCCTTCTCCCATGTCTCCTTAGACAATAAACTGCTAATCAAAATCCTGACTGGTTGGGACTGAAATCCAGGCCAAGGAATTCTCAAGAGTCAAATCAGCAGCTTTCACCACCAGAAGGGAAATTCAGAGAACTGTGTGAATAAATACCATCCCCCTACACCCCCAGACCAGCTTATGCTCTAAAAAATCTTGCAAAGCACAGATTGATTTAGAAAACTACCTTAATTTTCTTCTATATTTGTGGTACTTGCCTTGTCTCCATAAGGATACTGTACCTGTAAAAACACCCCGTAGCACTTTAACCCCAGGCAGTGCAAAGGGCTGGCACAACCACTGAGCTTAAAACAGGAAACCTGCAAGTGCAAACACCAGGGATTTATTTATCTTAACTGGCCATAATCGTGGGGACTGAAAATCCTCTGTGCTCCTCCTGTGCCTCAGCACTGACCAGGGAGGTTCAGGAGATTCCTTGTGGCAGAAGGAAACGAGTTATGGTTTAGCAACAAGCCAAAACTGTGCTCACAGGGGTGTGCAAAAGGTCTCTGGGAGGAGAAACCTCTGTTTTCAGGGAGTAAAATTTTTGTGAAGAGAATTCCCAGTGGTCCACAGACTGATGGAAAGGTGAGAACCACCGATGTTGGAATGTGAGGTGTGGGCAGAACAGCCTCGTGTGCAGCACACTGGCTTTTGCTGTTGTTGGTGTGAAGAGACTGATTTCAAACCAATACACTGGTTTTTACATTAATACTGACCAGAGAGGTCCAGGAGATTCCTTGTGGTGGAAGGAAATGAGTTATGGTTTAGCAACAAGTCAAAACTGTGGTCACATGGGTGTGCAAAAGGCCTCTGGGAGGAGAAACCTTTGTTTTCAGGGAGTAAAATTCCCTGGCTTTTGCTGTTGTTAGTGTGAAGAGGCTGATTTCAAACCAACACACTGATTTTTGCAGGGGTGATAAACTCCAGCCAAGGGACTGCAAAATCCAGCAAGGAATTATCTTGCAGGGGTGGTGTTGTAAGTGCAAAGGAGAGTGAGAAACAGCAGTGGAGGGAAGGTGGAAGGACTTACTTCTGAGAGTACCTTGTGTACGAACTTCAGCCTGTCCCTGGTGGGCAGCAGCAACGTGCACCTCTTCAACAGCAGCCCTGGGACAGGGGGGGGAAACAGGTACAGCTGGGGGTAAACTGTCACAGCAACTTGTTTGTGGTGTTGCTTAAAGCCCCTGCTACTCCCAGTATTAAAATCACTGCACTGGGTTGGGAGTTACAGCTGCTCAAAGTGTTGGGAAGCAGCGTTGAGTTGTTGCCCCTCAGCCCCCAGGACCCTGTGGAACGCTGGATTTCCCCTCACAGCTCGGGAAGCTGAGCTTCTAAAGGTGTTTTTTTTTTCAGGAGAGCCACATGAAAAAGCAAATATTCTGAGCTGTGTTGGTGTAGAACGTTGCTAGGAGGGAAATCTGTTTTCCTGCCCAGGGTATGTTTGGGATGGCGGAGCCTGGAGTGAGTTGTTGTGGGGAACAGCTGGTTGTGGAGCGGAATTTTTTCCGCACTCCTGATGGAAACTGGGTGAACAGCTTTCACCAGGGTAAAAAATATATATATTGGTTGTTAATTAGTCAAGGAATCCACGGAAAAGCATGTAGGTTTTTTTTGGGGGGGAAGGATACTTTTCTCCTGAATTTCGCCTCCTGAAAATACATCATTTTTCCAAGGTTGGAAAGTGCTTCATGAATTTCCCGTGGTTCTGAGCTGACCCCTTTCCCTTCTTTAGAAGCAGCTCCTGCAGCACAGCCAGAATTTATTCATCGGCCTCAGACGTGACCCAAAGCTCAGTCAAGTCGATTTTTTTCCCCTCCAAGGCCAGACTTTGGAGGGGAATTCCCCGAGGAGCAGCCGCTGGGATGACACAGCTGCACGTCAGGGTGTGAGGAAAAAACAGGGCTGAGCAAAAGGCACTTTTTCTTTCCACTCCAGTTTTTCCTGCTGCAAAGCAAATATTGATTTTTGCACCTGACCTTAACAAAGCCGTTCCTGCTGGGCCCCAGGTATGGCCAAGGATTTTATATTTTTAATATGTCGAGTTTCACTGCCAGAGCTGCTGCAGGGGTGGGTTCACACCTACTTTTAAAGAAGGAGTTGCCATTTTGTGTGAGGTCACTACAAAGCCCAAACTAATTTTTGGTTGTTTGTTTTGGTTTTTTTTTAAAAAGGATTATGGGTTTTCAGGCTTCCTTTTAAAAAGAAAGCCCTAAGATTGTTTTAAAAAGGCATTTTAAGATCCCCCCGAAATCTCCATGGTTTGCTTGGAGGAGACTTCAGGTCTAAATGAGTTTAACAGCTTTTCTTTACCAGGTATAATTTAACATCTTTAATGCCTTTATTTAATGTCTTGAGTTCAAACCCTGTTTATAATTCTCCATCTAACCATGGCATCACTTGATTTCTCTGTCCAACACAATTTTGTATCAGACAGGGACCAGTAAATATGGATCAAATGCTGTTTTAATTTCATTTGCTCCTCTGACAGGACAGTGTGGAATGAATTAGGACCGAATGAATTAAGTGTTCTAAAAACCAGCAACAGTGTCACAAAGGGCAGCTGGTGCTGGTCCCTCCCGAATTAGGCTGGGCCTGAGACCTGTGGCTGCATTTCCCAGCCTGAGGAATGTGAGCTGCTCCAAAGGGATGCCCGGAGGGGGGGGCTGAGCAGCCAAATTCCTTCGGCTGGCCGGGCCTGGGAGTCTCTTCCAGCGGTGGTGTCCAAACAAACTAAATCTGGAAACACCTCCAGCTGGGAACTGCCCCTCTGCCGCCTCGCAGGGAGCCACAAACACACGGCAGGCAGAGCAGACATCGGTTTTTTCCCACAGCTAAGAGGCTCTGGAATGATTTCAGCAATCCCTCCCTCCAGCTCGTGGCGTTGCAGTGGGTTATTCGGCTCCGAGTTCAGAGGGAGCTGCACAAAAGGAGGTTTGGGGGCCACGTTTTATCGCTGCCTAAAGCAGAGGGAGGCTTTTCAGCGGGCTCTGCCCTCACCTAGGGATTTGTAGTGCTCCAGGATGGAGGCTCCCTCCCTCCTGCCGGGGAGCTCCAGGTTGTGGAAGTCCTGCAGGAGGAGCCGGCGGGTCCCTGCCGAGGTGGAGATGTAATGGATCAGCTGCTGGCCGAGGCTTTTGGACACCATGCTCAGCGTGCTGATGTCCTTCACTGCAAAAGCAAAGCCCGGGACGCTCCTAAATCCTCAAATTCCAATCACGGGTCAAAAACTGCCCCCCCCCCCTCCCCTTCAAAAACAAACCGAGGAGTGAGATGGATAAATAAACCACAAATTAATCACTGTGGGTCTCCTCTGCCAGCAAGCTGTTGTAATTAGAAATGGAGACACCCGAGGAATGTTTTTTTCTACACCTCGTGGGCAAAAGTCGCTTAAAATGCTTCGTAATCGTAATTTAAATTTTGATTATTTTTTTTTTTAAAGAAAGAATGACATGACAGTGTTTTGTGTTCAAAATGAAGGCTGAAACCTTATAATTCTTTTTTTTTTTTTTAAATAAGGTTTCAGCCTTCGTTTTGAACACAAAACACCGAGATTGTTTTAAAAGGTATTTTAAGACACCTCAGAACCTCCATGGCTTGCTTAGAGTGGGAGATGTTGGGTCTAAACAACTACAGCTTTTTCATAGGTTTTTTCATAGGTAAAAGCTGAAAACTCAGAGAATGAGCCACATAAAATGACTTTAACCAGCTGAAAGCTAAAGGGTAAGCCACAAAAAAATGACTTTAACCAGCTAAAAGCCAAAACATTTAAAATAATAATGGCTTTATAAGTGAAAAAAAAAAAAAAAGCCATGGAAATTTTCAGATATTGGGGTAACACCCTTCTGATCAGGTTCTCACCTGAGAGATATTTCAACACCATGTGGAAGATCTCTAAGGGCAGGGTTTGGAAGTGTCCCAGTGCTGACAGGGACTGGGAATCCGTGTCCAGGGTGTCCCAGCAGCCTCGGGAGCGGCGGCTCCGCCGGGGTTTGTGGCTGGGAAAGGAGGGGCAGCTGCTCCCTGCACTGCAGCTCATGGTCCTGCTGGGCCCATAAAGTTAACCTGGAGAGAAAAAAAAAAAAAAGATTAAAGTCTTATTTTTCAGAGGAGAAAACTACCCAAAAATCAGGCTGAGAGGAAATGACTCGGTTGGAGTGAAAATCTTGTGGGTGTGGAGGATAAATTGTTTGGATTTAGTGCAAGGGAAGCGACTTCATAAATGAGTTTCTTAGTGTGTAGATGATAAAATGTGTTCTAAGTGATCATTTGGTGCGTTGAAAGGTATAAATAATTTTAAGGTCTGGGAGAATGGAGTATTCAGGGAGGAGGAGAAGATAAAAGCACGGGGGGACATCGTGGAGTGGGACATGGAAAATGAGGAAAATGGTCCTAAAAAGGGAATTCCAGAGGAATTACACGTGATGGTACAAGCCACAGTAATTAACAACATTGTTTTAATTTGTTACACTAATTACTCGACAGGATGCTCAATTTATAAGGCTGCTATTGAAATATCATGTTACTTGATTCCTTTAAGGGATAATTACTTATATGTGTGCTTGTGTGTGACCACAAAAAAAAAAAGATTGAAAGCAGCAAAGTGGTGCTTCAAACCTTTTTGTCCTGCAGCACCAAGTTGATACAGGGCCTAATTTAATGTAATGACTAAATATGTGATAATAAAACTGAATTACACAGCATTGCTACGTGGAAAAAAAAAAAATAAAAATGCAGTGACTCAGCCTTTCCCAAAACCACGAGGGGAAATGAAAATGAGCTTTAAAGGATCGATAAATCGGATTATTTGATTTCCCTCCTGGGTTTTGGGTCTCTGGAACAGCTACACTTCCCACTGTCGGGCAACACTGGGAGCGAGGGACTCTCTGCCTCTGAAATTTTATTTTATAACCGAGATTTTTCACACTGTTCCTTGATTCCAGCAGCTGAGGCTTTTGGGGGAATTGCCAAGGAGTGCTGCAGCATAATTACACAAGAGCTGGCAGCAGGGGCTGGAACATCCCTGGAACCAGCCCAAAGCTGCAGGGCGACATCCCAGTCCCCCTGAGTGGGAAATTCTGGGGCAGAATAGACCTCATTGTTGGAGAGATTAAAAATTTACAAAATTACAGGCGACGAGCTCCAAACACCCCTCCTGTTTATACAACAGAACTCACAATATTCCAGGCAGGAAAAATTGCTACATCCACAATAGGAGCTCTGTTTGTGCTGGGGATGGGGAAGGAATCGGGGCATTTTTGTTAAAAGTGGGTCCGGCTGGCTCCGGAGGGAGCTGGAATTGTACATTTAAGGAAGTTTTACTTCGCTGGAAGCTGGTTTTTTGAATTTGGCTGAGGGGATGTTTCCAGCTCGCTGAGGCAGCTGGAACTTTCACAAGGGCTCGGGGAGCAAATGGAGCTGCTGCTAAAATGAGTGTTTCTTTAGGATTTTACGAGAGAAAAATCGATTTAACACCTTTAAGAACGATTGAGAAACCGCTTGTGGGTAAAGTTATATGAAAAAACGTTTATCTTCTGAAAGCAAAGAAAAAGTGAGGAATTTTGTACACAGAACGGTGGACTCAGGATAATTTAAATTCCTTGAGTACAACATACAAAGCAGCTCATGTTTATAACAAGGCACCACTAAACTTGGCTAAATCTGGTGCACATTTCTCATCCATGCTTTTAGAAATAAAGTTGCAATCCTATGATACTTTCTTTTCATCCCCCACTCTCCTTTCTGTGCTGTGGGGATTTATGGGATCTTTCAAGTGTTTTGTTTTTTTTTTTTTTTTAAAAAAAACTCTTACCTTGGGTCTGTGACTGTGTTATGTGGAAGGAAAAAATACTTTGCCACCAGCGAGGTTTTTCGGAAGTGTTTGTCCAGTTCCAGTCTGTGTCTGTTCAATCTGATGGAAGTTAAACTGATTATCACTGTTTTAACGTAGAGCAGAGCGAGATAAAATTAATGTAAATCAAAACGAGTGCAAACAGCCAGTTTTAAAGCCTTTCCTGAAAGCTCCCACTCGCTTCCTCTCTTTGACTTAACGTGGGTTTTTTTATTTCTTAGGGAGTTCAGCCAGGGCTGGGCAATGGGCTGTGCATCTCCATCTGCTGCTGGGACACCGGTGTTTGGAGAACTGCTTAATCCACGCTGGAAATGGAGAGGTAAATGTTAAATATTTAACAAGCTCAACTCATAACATTAGCTAAGAAGGGTCATCCCATTTGCTGCTATAAACTAATTTGTTTACAGGGCAGAAAGCATCAACTTCCACCCCTGCTCCCCTTAAGCAGTCGCTAAACTCCTGCTAATGGATGCACTTTAGTGCTGATATTTCTCGGAGCCCTGTGTTAGCATTTGGCAAACATTTATTGCAGAAAGGGGTGTTTACTTTGGAGATTGCTTTGGGATGTTTCTGCTTCCCTTCCTCATCACTATGAGCATGAGCTCAGCCGCCTCCAATATTAGCTCAGTTTTGATTTGTTTTTCCACGGTTTTCTCTTTGCCGTGTAAAAATAATGTAGAATAAAATAGAATAGAATAAAATAAAATAGAATAAAATAAAATTAAAATAAAATTAAAATAAAATAAAATAAAATAAAATAAAATAAAATAAAATAAAATAAAATAAAATAAAGTAAAATAATGACTTTAAAAGTGCAAGTTTAAGGGAGGGATGACAGACCTCAGAGCACCGAGCGCACCCATGGAATTACCTCAGTACTTGTTACCCCCCAAGCTACACTGAAAATTTACAAAAAACACATGGTTTTGTTTAGGATAAAGTCTCTGTGTCAGATTGGTGGTGAAAATCTGTTCCCCAAAGCACCTAAATTGGTGAATGATGTGAATATAAAGCAGAGCTGAGGGGATTCTGGCCCTGCTGCTGGTGGTGGCTGGGTTGTGGTGTGAGGAGAAACACCAGAATCTGCTTCTTTTTCCCTCGTTCCAGGCCGGATTTGCTCCCCAGGCCTCAATATTTTGTGGAATGGGTAATATTTGGCCTTTTAGCTGTGTTTTTGGGTCAGATTGAGCCGGGGCTGTGACAGACCTTTAGGCCAAAGGATGGGCCAGGCTGTGCCCTCCGGCCACGGCCCCTCTGCCCACAGCCGGCCAAAATTTGGGGCCAGAGGGCTGAAATCGGGGACCTGCACCCCAAAACCTCCGTGGAGACCCTGGAGGGGGTCTCGCAGTCGGTGGTACTCACGCAAAAACACTTTATGGGCCGTTTTTCACCTCAGGGAAACCCGCTCTCCACAAAGCCCCTCAGCCGGGCGGGCGCGGGGAGCTCTGAGGGGAACGGGGGGGGGGACGAGGGGGTGTGTGGGGAGCACCGAACCCCGTGTCCCCGTGGGGGGAAAAAAGAACCCAGAGCCCCCATTTCTTAATTACTATCGTCAGTGAAAATCAAATTTTTAAAGCGTCATTTCAGGATCTGCTGGGGTTTAAAAGGGGGTCTGGGCGCAGCAGCAGCGGCAGGTGCGCACAGGCAGCACAGCTGTGTTTGGGTACCTCACTCGGGAGCAGAAATGTTGGCAAACATTAAAAAAACCCAGCGTTTAAATTTCAGGACGTTAGTTGTCGGTTGGGCCGCAGGCACGTTGGAGGGGTGGAATCACCACCAACAACAGCAGCGTGTCACTCCGGCAGTGTTTTACTCCAGCGGCGTTTCGTCGGTGTTATTATTAATAACTCCGCCCCGCTTTTACTCGAATTTAGGCGAATTTTGGGCCAGAACGACTTTCCCGCGCTTTCGCCCGCGGCGCGTTTCAGCGCGAGGGGGGAGGGGGCGGAGCCCACGGGTTTTCCCGCCCCCTATGTCTCCGCCCACATCATGAATATTCAAATATAACCACGCCCCCTCCCGTAGCGGAAAGCGCGTCCCCTCGTTACCAGGAGCCGCGTGGTCACGCCCACCTAATGAATAATTAATGAGGCGCTGGGAGCGCGGCTTGGGGGCCGGCGGGATTTTGGGATGAGCTTTGGGATCCCTTCCAAAGCCTTCCGCGGTCCCGCGGCTCGGCCTGCGGAGCTGTTACAACGCCAGGTCGCGGCCTCTCGCGCGTTTCGCCCCGTGGAACGGCGTCGTTCCCCGTGGAATGGTGTCAACCCCCTTTGTGAGAGCTGCAAATCCCCAGCTCGCTACAGGCCGGTTTTAAAAATAACTGTTTCTCGCCATAAATTCTGCCCCCCTCCCCGAAGTCGCTGGCCCTGAGTAACTATTTCTCTCGGGACAGCGACCGAACCTCCCGGGAGAGGTTTCCTCGCTGCTCCAAAGGCAGCTCCCATACGATGGCAGCAGAGACCCGCAGCTGCTTTAAGGGAATTTTTACCCGGTATTTTTATTTTTTTTTTTCCCCCAGAAGACACTTGTTTGTTTTGGTTTTGTTCCTGTTCTGATTTTTTTTTTTTTTTTTTTTTTTTTTTTTTTTTTTTTTTTTCTCAGGAACTCCATCAAAAGAAGAACTTTCCTCGGCAAAACCGAAGCAGAAAAAAAATTCAAAAAATCACCCTCATATGTAAGGATGTGGCATGGTCTGATTAATCAACAAGAGCTGGGCTGCCATGATGATGTAACTGTGACTGCAATATTTTGGCTGAAAAGGTAAATCAGGCAAGTGTGCAAAAATCATGTGCTTTGGAGTTGAGCAGAATAAGCCAAGCAGAGCCTGCAGATGCCTTGTCCCTGTTTCTATTTCCACCTGGGATAGCAGGACCTGGCTGGATATCTCTCCAAGAAAGAGCATCCTGCCTCCCTAAATCCTTCCCAAACGCTGCTGGGTGGAATCAGGGATCATTCTGTTCACCCCCCCCCATCATTTTGCTGTTTGCACCTCTGTGTTGCACCACGAACAGAAAACAGAGACTCTCAGACCAGAAATAACGAGAAACAACCAGATCCCACTGGGGAAAAAAAAATATATATATATATATATAATTTGGGGGTGTATCTGGAGTATCCTGGGGCACCTTTTTGGAGCCTGAGAGTGGTTTAAGGACTTCCTGAGGCTGAGGCTGCATCCTGTGTTTAACAGGCAGAGCTGGACCTGCAGAAACACTGGAGTGATTGGGATAATTAATGGTAACGAGGGTGACACCGGGCTCGGGGATTTAATTGAGTCCAGGTAAAAGTATCACCCTGTGTTTGCTTTCAGTTGGCTGAGGGAGTCACTGACGGGGTTTATTTTTTCACCTGTAATCCAGTCAGTGTTTGCAAACTGGTTTGAGGTGACGGGATGAGGGGTAATAAGGGGAAAATTGAGTCGTCCCAAATTCCGTCCCAAATTCCCGGCGTTTCTGCTGGAGTGTTAACGGCTCATTCCCTGCATGGAGCAGCCCGGGAGGGTGGAAGGAGTGGGGTGGGACTTGGATGAGTTTTAAGGTCCCTTCCAGCCCAAACCACCCTGTGATTCCGTGAAGAAAAGCACCAAATGTGCTGGGAGTCAAAAGAAAATGAAGGAAAAATTGCCCCACTAGGACCAAAGAACAGCACCTAGCGTGCTATAAGCATGGGAAAATGGAAATAATAATGATAATAATAATAATAATAATCTGCAGAAGAAAGACATAATTCCTCGAGTTTTGTGTCCCTTCACCTGCTGTCTTGGGCAGCAAAATTTCTTCTTCTTACCTCTTTAAATCAAATTTCCCCCCGTTTGCCAAATGTTTCCCCTCTCTCAAGTGTTATTAAGGAGCTGAGCTGCAGCCTTTCATTTTTTTTCCTCTTGAAAAAAGCAGTTTAAGGCTTGTTAGAAAATGATAAAAATATATGATTAATGGGATTGTTGACTCATCCAGCACAGGCTCTGCTGTGCCTGTGTGAGGATACACAGGGAATTAAGGCACTGCTTCCTCTCGTCCTGCCTAATGAATTCTCTGGATAAAAATCACCACGTCCTCCTTGGCTGGCATTTGTAAGGATTTCTGCCAGAGCAGGGCTGGTGGGTGGCAGAGGGATGAGAAGGGGCAGGGATGTGTGTATTCCCAGAATCCCAGCCCACAGGGGTTTGATCCTCTGAGGAGCTGATGAGAATTTGACTCAAAGTCCCATCATTTTATTGGTGTTCTGCTCATGGAATCGTGCAGGGACAGGGATGAGATGCAGCCAGAGGAATTAAAAAAAAAAGTGGGGAAAAAAGGGGAAAAAAAGGCAGAATTTCCAGATGGCCTCATTCCTCTCGGGATCATCGCTGGCTCTGTGGGGGCAGGAGTGGGTTTAATGTTGTTTTCTTGCCTCTCCCACCTCGTTTTGGACGGTGGTGGTGGCTGAGGCAAACCAGCAGCGCTCTGTCCTTCCGCCCTGCCCCGCTTCCAAGGGTTTTAAAATGCTTGGAAGTGCATTAAAATGCTTGGAAGTGCATTAAATCCCGGAGCTGAGGGAAGGTGCCCCGTGGAGGGGGTGTGAGGCTTCCCCGGAACGCCGAGGCAGGAGGAGCTGAGGGACTCCTTCAAGGTCGTTTGGAAGATTCCAGAGGCAGAATCCCGAGTCCCAGCTCTTGCTTCCTGCCTTCAGGGGACGCTCCTAAACACTGGGATGGAGGGAATGCGAGAGTGAAGGAGGGAAGGCAGGGATGGGGTGGATGCAGAGGTGGAGGAAGGTGTGTCCTGGGTTTCTTGTTCATCCTTCATCCTTTACCTTCACATCAAACTTGTTCCTCTGCCGTTGCCAAACCCTTCCTGAGGATCCGGCCTGGGTATTTTCCCGGCCTGCTCCTCCCATCTAAATATCCCATATATTTTCCCTTATCCCCAGCTTTTCTCCATCTTCCCATCCTGCAGAAAAACAAGAGACCAACCCACCCCACCCCCCCCCCCCCAAAAAAAAAAGCAGCTGATTGCTGAGAATTCCTGAGCATCCCGTGAGCTCCCGTGGTCGGAGGAGGAGCCGGAGGGAGCCTGGAGCCGGTGCTTTTCCCTTCTCCTGCTTTTTAAGATGCAACGTTCAGCCCCAAACAGATGGGAACCTGTCAGCACAACACAGGGATAATCACCAAAGAGCCATGGGAAGCTTGGGAACAGCTCGGGAGCTGCTCTGCTTTGTCATCTGAGCAGTTCTCGGGGGCTGAGAGCCCTGGGGGGGGCCTGGTATCCCTTTGGAGGAACCCCAAGGAAAAGCTTGGCTTGGTGGGGGCTGCAAATCCTCTCCAAAGCCACTTGTCCTGTGCAGGGAGGGAGAATGATCCAGCCTGGAAATCCCCTGGAAATGCGACAGCAAGGGATTCAATTAAATCTTAATTAACCTGAGTGACGATTGCTTCGGGCTTCTGGTTGGGAATCACAGGATCAGGGAACTGGTAAAGCTGGAAAAGACCTTTGTGATCATCAGCTGAGCACCCCCAAAGTGTCCCAAAGTGCCACATCCACAGGTTTTTTGGGCCCTTCCAGGGACGGGGGCTCCTCCCAACCCTTCCCAGGAAGGCAATCCCGTGTTCCCAATGCCAAATCTCACGGAATAGGCTGGTTTTTGAGGATCAAAACCCCAACTGGTGCATCTGTTAGAGCTGTCAGACCCCTCCAGGCATCCCAATCCCAGAGCCTCATTTTTATTTTTTTTTGGATTATCCCCACCTCCACCAGCTGGAAAACAGGGAAGGAAGGAGTTAAGAAACTCTCACCTCGGGGGTCTGTTATTATTCCATGGGTCTGTAAAGTGGAGGAGTTAAAAAATCCCTCAGGAATCATGGAAATAACCCTCCAGGATGGCACCAGGGAGGTGCTTTCTTGCAGCATGAAACCCACCATTATCCTTAAAAGAACAGCAAACCTGCTCTTTTCAAGTCCTCAAAAAAAGCAAATATAAAAGGCTTTTTTTTTTTTTTTTTCCCTTTTTTTCCCCCTCCCCACCTTTTTATCCTGGAATTTTATCAGGGATGTGTTTTCTTTTTTTTTTTTTTTTTTTTTTTTTTGCAGGGGAAAAGGGGTTTTCTGTGTGTTCTGCTGGAGGTTTTGTCAGGGTTTAAAAAAGGTGACAAAATCAATTTTTGTTCCAGTCGAGGAAGGGGGGGACCAATGGAATTGGGCTCGGGAAAATTGCTGCCTGCCCTGACCTACTTGTTAAAAAGGAAAAAAAAAAAAATAAAAGGTAAGAAAAACAAGTGGAAAACGTTCACAATTGGCTTCTCAGGTTCTTCCTCAGCCCTTTTGTGAGGGGAAAATTGTGGGAGGAGATGGAGGCTGGTGCAGGATCCTCCCGTGGCAGCTGAATGGAAGTGTGCAGGTGGTTCCTGCTCCCTTGGATCCAGCCTTTTTTTTTTTTTTGGGATTGTGCTGGTAATTATCCCCCGCCCTCTCATCTCTCACCTCTGCCTTTGGGGAGGGGGAAAAAAAAAAACCCCACATCTTTTTGGGTGGGTGAGGGGGGTCAACACGCAGGGAATTCCACCCCTTTCCCTGCCAGCATCTCCCAAAAATTCCTGATTTCTCCACGAGAAACAAACAAAAAAAAAACAAAACCCCTCAGCTTCTCCTTTCTAAGCGAGGCAATAAATCCATTTAACACCCGACCAGGGGAGGAACCAGGAGCCCAAATTCCCTGCTCCCACTTTGTACCCAGAGCTTCGTTTCCCAGCACTTGGAAAAACGCAGATCCAGAGCATCTATTTGAGGGGTTTTTTTTAATTCCTCCACCCACGGGCCCTGCTGGAACAATCTGCTCCCTTCTTTGCTGTCACTGCCATTAATTATGGCTCAAAACGCTGCTTTGGACCCGAGGTTGCATTTGCAGAGCACAAATCCTTGTTTATTTGCATGGCTGAGGTATTTTTCCCCCTGTTTGTGGGCTGTTGTTTGCTTTGAGAGCTGTTTGTTGGGAGCTATTTAATTTTTTTTCCTTATGTGTGTATTATAAAGTATTGCCTTATATATGTGTGTGTGGGTATAAATGGAACATACATCTATATATATATATTAAAAAATGGAATATATATATTAAAAAATGGAATTTATATAAAAATTGAATATATATATAATGGAATATATATAATGGAATATATATATATAATGGAATATATATATAATGGAATATATATATAATGGAATATATATATATAATGGAATATATATATATAATGGAATATATATATAATGGAATATATAATGGAATATATATATAATGGAATATATAAATGGAATATACATATAAAAATGATCCCATTTTTATATATATAATATATAATATATATAATATAATGGAATATATATATATAAATGAATATATATATAATGGAATACATATATAAATGGAATATATAAATATATATGTGGAATATACATATGTGTATAAATTGAGTATATGTAGAAATGGAATATATATAAATGTGGAAAATGGAATATATATGAAATGGACATTAAAAAATGGAACATATATAATAAACTGGAAAATAAAATTGAATAGGTATAAATGGAATATATATATAAAAAAATGGAATATATATAAAAATGGAATATATATAAAAATGGAATATATATAAAAATGAATATATATATATATATATAAATGAAAAAAATATATTTAGTTTAATTATATATCTGCTAATACTCCACTCAGAGAAATGGAACAAGGCACCAGGACAGGAGAATTCTTTTATCATGATTAAATTAACTCCTGTTTGTATTGTGTTAACACAGTTTTTCCCAGCCTGGAAAAGGCTCCTGAGGAAGAGGGGGATGAACAGGCTGTGATGGGCTTGGGAAGGTGAAAGGGAAAAAGTGGGAAGAAGTGGATATATTTTATATTTTCCTGATGGAAATAAATGGATACCTAAACCAGCAAAGGAAGCCTGGGTGTGGAGGGGTCTCAGATAATGACTTTTAAAGTGCTTTCTGTATTTGAAATAATTGGGGGCTGGTGCAGAGATCAAAAAACACCAAACCTGAACACTGGGAGGAAGTCAAATGCTCCGAGGAAACTCCACTGGGCAAGATGAGAGGAAAAAAAAAAGAAACCCTCCCAACAAGCCAAGCAGAATAAAGGAGAAGCAAATGATAGTCTTAATTCAGAGCTCAATTACAGGAGCTGTGAGCCCTGGGAACTCCTCCTGCTATTGATGTGTCTGTGCTGAGACTGGGGAAAAGTGCCTTAAAATAAAAAAAAATTTAAAAAAATGGAAGAAAAAAAAAAAAGAAGAAATCCCCGTGTTTTTTTTTTTTTGTAGCATCAATTAAAAGACTCCGAGATGAAAAGAATTCCCATCCTGCTCCAGGGCTCACGAGCACTAATCCTGCCAACCAAGCAGTCCAAAAGGAAGAAGGTTTTTATTTCATATCCAGACTTCTTATTCCATGCAGGTAAATCCATAGCAAATACATTGCAGTAAAAGACAGTTAAAGTGCCTTTAAAGTCCCTCAAAAGAGTCCAAACTGTGCTGGAAATTCAAGTACGTGGAAAATAGGCCTTTAGTTATTAGGAGAATATTTTTTATTATTTTTTTTTTTTTTAAATGTTGGAAATGGTGGAGGGGGGGGGGGGTCGAGCCCCCAAATTTTCGTGGGAGCAGAACCAAATCCCAGGTCTGGTGTCCTCCCAGCTGCTGAGCAGGGCCCAGGGAGCGGGAAGGGATGGAATTGTCCCCCTGGGAGAGGGACCTGCCCCGAGGACACGCTCAGCAGGGGCCAAAAACGAGGAGATTTGGGGGTTGCATCCCTTTTTTTCACCCCTCTGAGCCCGGCTGGGGGGGCCCCGACCCCTCTGTGGTGACACAACAGAAGGTCACGACACCCACGGACACCGAAAGGAGCCCGGAATCCACCGGGATCCAGAGGGAAAAACCTCGGGATGGGGGCAAGAAAAGCCAAATCAAGCTGGTTCCACCGGGATCCAGAGGGAAAAACCTCGGGATGGGGGCGAGAAAAGCCAAATCAAGCTGGTTCCACCGGAATCCAGAGGGAAAAACCTCGGGATGGGGGCGAGAAAAGCCAAATCAAGCTGATTTTTTATGTCATCCCCACGTTCTTCCCTCCAGGAAGAGACTCCAAGGTCAACTCGGAGCCGGAGTTCGGGGACCGGGAAGGAGGGTTGGCCCCGATGGGTCAGACCTGGGGCATCCAAACTCTCCTCTTGGCAGCACTTGGGGATGGAAAAGCCATTTTTCTCTTCCTTCCAGGCACTGGCAACGTCCCCCTCGGGGTTTTTCCAGAGTTTTTTTTACGGGCTTCTCTTCCGCTGCTCCGGGGAATATTCAGGACATCCCGCTGCCCTGGAGGTGGAATTCCAGCACCCACAGGGAAAAAGGCAGGGCAGAGCATTCCTTGTTTCCCTCCTCTGGATGCAGCATCCCCAGGAGATGCCAGTTGGGAGCCAAACCTTCAGCTCGGAGCCGACCGCGGGCAATAAATTTTCCATTTACGAGCTCTCGGAGAGCTGATGGATTGGAGCTGTTAAAGCCCCAAAACCTGAGCAATTCCTCTGGAGAAGGAAAAGCAAACACCTGGAGCACAGCTATGGTTTGGTTCTTTCCTTAAAGGGGAAAAAAAAAAAAAAATCAAAATAATTTAAAAATCAAGAGCCTTTTTTCACCCCAGGCACTCAGGACTTGGCATCTCCCCGAAGTTCAGGTGTTCCACAGATCCCAGTTCAGCCTCTCCTGGGTTATGGCACTTGGATGGTGTTATTTTTCCACCTGAATCCTTCCTTAATCCCCGTATTTTCTCCTGAATCCTCCCAGGATCCTTTTCTGTAGTGATTTATACAAATGCACACTACTTAGAAAGCCTGTTTTCCTCTAAATTCGCAGCATTTCAGAATTCTTGGATCCCTCCCAGCATTTCTAGGGCTTGCAGGGGAAGAGGAAGAATCAAAATCTTGCTGTTACCAAGCGTTCCTGTTCAGAAAAACAGCAAAACCAAGGCCTAAAACTACTCCAATTAACAGTTCAAATGTAACTATTTGGAAAAACAAACAAAAAAAGTTAAATCCAGAGAAAATTCTCTTTTGAAAGGAGATCAGATTTGGGGCAAAAACTGGGTGACAGAATCCCTCTGAATTCTTTCCACTTTGGGGAAAGAAGGAGAAAAAATAAAAATAAAAATAATAATAAAAAATAAAATAAAAAAATAAAATAAAAAAAAACAACACAAACAAACAAACCAAACAAAAAACAAACAAAAAAAAAAAAAAAAAAAAAAAAAAAAAAAAACCAAACCAAAAAAAAACCCCAACAAATTTTTAGTTAAAAGCTTTATCTGGGAATTAAATTTATCTTGAAAATATCTAAAAAGAGACTTTCTGGGCCATAATAACCTGACTGAACCAGCCCCTGGGTCAGATCTGCACCAGACATGATTATCAGAATAAAGAGGAGCAGGAGAAAATTAAAAAAAAAAAAGGGGGGGGAGGGAAAAGCCCCCCAAAAAGAGGAGTGGGAAAGATTCATCAACCAACACCTTTTTAGGGGAGGGGAAATAAAATTTTAACTGGGCCCAAAATGTGGGTTCTCCCTTTCTTTACACCCCGTCTGTGGAGTTGGGCAGAGGGTTTTTTTTTTTTGCAGGTTTAATCTCAAATTCCCAGGGCTCAGAGGGAGGAGAAAAACCCCAAGAGGTCCTGGTGGGGAAGCCCTTCCTTGGGGTCAGGTCCTGGAAGCCCCAGATCCACACCTGGGGCTCGTCACAGGTGAGGTAAAATAAAACAAAAATCAGGGAAAATAATCCCACTGACTCAAAACTACGACGGCGACCAGGTGATTTCTGCATTTCCTGGGCTGTCCAGGCACTCCTTATTTATCTGAAACGCCCATGGATGAGCTTGGATTTGCCCCAGGATTTAGCCTGTGTTTTCCAGTGCTCTCTCCCCACCCTCTCTTCCATCAGATCCACCTTGTTCCCACTGGATCGGTGCCCATGGGGACGTATTTTGAAGGAATCTCAGATTTTTTTTCCCCTACTCTCCGTCTCCTTTAGGGGAAGGGTCATAATTAGCAATTTAGCAAACTAATTAGATGCCAAAAAGCGCATCAAAGCCGTGGGCTCGCGAGAATCCTGGAGGTGAATCCTCTGCAGGGTTTTTAGTCCTTAAAATAGTTCAGGTTCCCCTTTCTCCAGGGGAGGGGCTGGAAGGTGTTGCTTTGAAGGCAGAGCTGGATCCAAGGTGGTGGAGGAGACCAGGACTTGAGGCTTCAGAGCCGTGAAGGCAAAATTAAATGTCAATTAAAGAAGGCAAAGGGGAGAAAGGGACAGAGCTGGGGGGTGAGGGGATGGGAGAGGAGCCCTGCAGAGCCAATCTGACCCCTCCTGGGCCACCACAACATCTGATCCCGCTTCCCACGAGAGGGGAGAGGCACCAACACGACATTCCTGAGCATTCCAGAGCCAATGTGCCCCCAAAAGCTTCTCTTTGCTCCCCAAGAACCTGCTGCTCGAGGCACCCCCAGAACGAGATTTCCCCCCCCCCATTTCTGCTGCTCTGGTGGAGGAGGGAAGAGGTAAAAAAAACCCAAACAAACAAAAAGCCCAAAAAACCCCTCACCAAGGTCAAAAGTTGGCTGCACTTTCCCCCCCCCCACCACACCCAGGAGGTGCCCAGGAGGATCCAGGCACATCCAGCCTCCTCCTTGAAAAAAAAAAAAAAAAAAGAAATCTCCATTTCTTGGGTCCTTTTTTTTTTTTTCCTCTCTCTCCTTGCCGTTCCTCCTCCAGGAAGGGGACAGACTTTGCAGTGGGATAACGGGAGGTTCGGGATGCAGGATGCAGGTTCGGGATGCAGGAGGGGAGGGAGGGAAGGGAGGAATCGCTCAGCACTGCTCTGCTTCCACGAATCCCTCCTTTTCCTGGCTGGCTGCTTCCACCTCGGCGTAGGTGGCGTGGTGGGTGTGATTCCGGAATTTCATGGCGGGCCAGCGGTGCGGCCTCCGCTGGGGACAGAGAAAGGAGGGCACGTCAGGGGCTGGGACAGAGCCTCCCACCCCGACCCCGAGGGGGAAAACAGGCCCTGGGACACGGACAGTGCTGTCCTGGGGAGAGTCTGAGGGTTTTGTGGGAAGAAAGAAAGAGCTTTCAAAGGTCTCTTAGTGCTTGGGTTTGTTGTAACGCGCTGAAGTCGCTGAGCTACTAAAATGGGGAATGGGGAGGGAATGGAAGTGAAGGCTCCCATCAGCCTGGAAATCCAGGATGGTCTGTGCCTGGAGCAGCAGCTGAGGATGCCCATGAGTGTTCCCTGCAACTGTGACCCCTCCTTGCCCCAGACAGGGCCAAGCACTGCCCCTTCCCAGCTGGGTGTGGATGGATCCCTCAAACATTCCCAGTGCCCGGTGCCGGGCTGGCAGGGGCCCCACGGATCCATTCCCTGCAGCCTCTCCCTGCAAACAGGACAGATGGGGGAGAAGCGCTCCAGGAACAAGCTGGGGAGGGATAAGGGAAGGCTGAGGGCTGAGTGTTGCTCATCCCTTGGCAGCAGCTCCCGTGCCAGGATCCAGCCCACTCCCGGCTGCCTCGGGCCCGGCTCCGGCAGCAGATGGGGATGGTTGGGCCCCCCGTCACCCCCAGAATTAAATTCCTGCCTCCAGAGCATTCCCACAGCCCTCCCACGGCAGCTGATGGCATCCATCCATCAGGGGCAGGCTGGCAATTTTAGGCAACAAAAATCCAGGGGGGCGATTCAGCGGAGCCTCCCCCCCTCCCCAGGCCGGGCTGAGCTCGAGGAGCAGGTGGAAGAGCCCGACATTCCACGGGGGAAAACAGGCAGCGTGTGAAAAGGGGAGAGAAATAAAACCGTGTGGGAGGGAGAGAGGCTGAGTTTAAACACCCAGCAGCCGGAGGTTGGGAGATCAGCCGTGACTGGAGGAGCACGGAAAGGAGCTTGGATGTGAAGCTCCCTGCTCCCCGCTCGGGAAGGCTGGGATTTGGGTGGGTCTGGAAGGCTGGGATTTGGGTGGATCTGGAAGGCTGGGATTTGGGTGGATCTGGAAGGCTGGGGTTTGTGTGGATCTGGAAGGCTGGGATTTGGATGGGTCTGGAAGGCTGGGATTTGTGTGGGTATGGAAGGCTGGGATTTGTGTGGATGGCAAAGGGAGGGCAAAGCCCGCAGGGGTGAGGTGCTGCACTCACCTCGATGAAGAAGAGGGCGGCGTTGGAGGTGGGGTGGCTGCTGATGTAGATCCCAGCCAGGATGATCCCGGCCACGAGCAGCACGGCCAGGACGATCCCCACGATGGTGCCGGTGGGAATCGGGGCCGTCTTGGAAGGAAGGCTGCTCCCCATGCCTGGAAAACAGGATCCAGCTGGGGCTGGAGCAGTGCTGGCGCCTCAGCAACTGCACAGAGCTGCAGAGGGTGGAGGTGGCATCTGTTAACTGGGACATCACCAGGCATTTGGGAGCAAACTGGGAATAACGTGGATTCCAAAGGCTCCGTGGCCCAATCCCGAGCCCAGTTCAGGCAGTTGGACTTCCCTGAGCTCCTCCCAGAGAAAGGGGACACACAGGGCCTGACATCAGTGAACAGGGCTTGGATCCTTCCCAGCCTCTGGAATTAGGAAGAGCATTATGGCAGCGGTTCAGTTCCCTGGTGGACAGACTGGGGCTGACCAAGGATTCAGGGAGCAGAGAGAACACTTGATATTTGGATTTTATGCTGCCCTTTGGCCCAGTTGGGGAAACTCAGAGGGAAAAGGGCTTTGTGTCTATGAAAATATGGCAAATAAAGGGAATTACACGGAAGGAGAAAACTCCCTGTCTGAGTTTGCACAGCAGGACAAACGGCACCAGGGTAAAACAGATCATTGCAGACTCTCACTTTTCACCCTCTGGAATTGCATTAACCAGGGTGAGGACAACAGGAATGTTATCTTGATGATGTCCCAGGTTCCCCTGTCCCCCCTGCTGACCACTGGAATCCAGGGAAACCCGTGTTCCCTCGGAGCAGGCAGGGAGGGGGTGAAGGGCTTACCCTCTGCTCCTGCGAACTGATTGAGCTTCGTGTCGTCTGAAAGGAGAAAACAGGGCAGAAAAAAAAGTAAAATCAGGGCCTTTCTCCGATATCCTGCACGTTTCCCACCTGCTTCCATCCCCCTGTGACGGGATCTCTGGATAGTTTCAAATCTCTGCTCGTGGAAGAGGGAGGAACACAGGAAACAACAGTGAAAGCAGGTGGGATAGGGATCATTTTCCTTCACTGAGGTGGCACCTGGAGCACAAATACCCGGGAAAAGGGGTCACTCAACATGCTCAGAGTGCAAGGTCTGAACCATAAGTGGATGCTGGATGTGGGTGCCCATGTTCAGGCCCCAGCATTTGGGGCTAATACATCCCAAATAAATCAGTGGGATGTTACACTGGGGGTGTTTTCCATGGGGGCCCAAAATCCACTTCCATTCTTGGCCTCGCTGTGGAAGAACCAGGATATTTTGTACAAGGCTTTGTCTCTTGATGGTCTCCACATCCCCACCCTCACCAGGGTGAAATCCTGACCCAGAATTCCCGCTGCTTGGCTTCCACATGTGCTGGAGGCAGCGCTGACACACAGCTGGTGAGTCAGACACAGCCACCAGCATCTCCAGGAGCAGATCCAGGGAAAAGGGTTGGCTGGGGAGGATGTGGGTCCAGGGAACAGGGCTGGCTGGGAGGGACACAGATCCAGGGAGCTGGGCTGGCTGGGGAGCACATGGATTCAAGGAACTGGGCTGGTTGTGGAGGACACAGATTCAGGGAGCTGGGCTGGCTGGGGAGGACATGGATCCAAGGAAAAGGGCTGGCTGGGAGGGACACAGATCCAGGGAACAGGGCTGGCAGGGGAGGACGTGGATCCAAGGAAAAGAGCTGGCTGCGAGGGACAAAGATCCAGGGAACAGGGCTTGCTGGGGAGGATGTGGATCCAAGGAAAAGAGCTGGCTGGGAGGGACACAGATCAAGGGAACAGGGCTGGCTGGGGAGGACGTGGATCCAAGGAAAAGGGCTGGCAGGGGAGGATGTGGATCCAAGGAAAAGGGCTGGCAGTGGAGGACGTGGATCCAAGGAAAAGGGCTGGCTGGGGAGGACACAGATCGAGGGAGGACGCCGAGGGCTGGGTCCCCCCGGTGTTGCTGGTTCCTTTGCTCTCTCCTCAGCCCCAGCCCTCC